AACATGCCGCAGTTTCAAGAAGGCAGTCCTGGCTTTTGCACTTTTTGAATCGACTTCTGTTTCCTTGCTGCCATCATTGCTGATGCAGCTGCCAAAGTAAATGAATCGATCATTCAGCTCTAGTTCCTCATTATTAAGGGCCTAGTAGTCTTGCAGCAACACTGTGCACTTTGAAGGTGCAAAGCTCATACCAAATAATGGGGCCACTCTGGAGAGGCTATCCAGGGTTGATTGTGCGACCGCAACATCGTCAAAAGCAAGGCGATATCGTCTGCATACTCAAGATCGACTAGGCTTTCTCTAGGCAGGACCTCAACGCCTGCATTGTGAGATTTCGCCAGGAGACATTGCATGATGGAGTCCACGGCGAGATTGAACAAAAATGGCAATTTTGCAACCCTGACGAACGCCACTGCTTGTCTGAAATTCCTTATAGGGGACTGTAGTCGATAGGTCTCCGGCGAATGTGCCGGGTAGGTGGCTGCAGATGGTTCTACTCCAGTGGCGCTTCGGTTGCTGTCGATTAAGATGGGAATTATAGTAGGAACTTTAGTATTGGGGATCAGGATGGGAGTAAGAGAAAGAGGTGGAAAAGAAAGAAGGGAGGCACCAGTAGTGGCATGTTTTCGCTTATCTGCCCTGCTGTATTCAGAATATAAGGCGACCCTTGGTGAGCTGCGCAACGGCCGATGCAGGACGTAGTTTGAGTTTTCGGAAATTATTGTGGTTGTATGTGGGCTAAGGTACTGCCAGGATGTCCATACCTAGGTAGAAGGACGATTAGGGTCCTCAACCCGATCCTTTGTCTCGGAAGCCTGTTCGCAAGGCGGAGGGGAGGTGGCAATGATTTAATTTTACAGAAGCGGATGCCATCCAATTTCAAACCCTCAATCTGGAGCACCATGAGACTGAGTTTATCTGACCACTGACCAACCTGGTAGGAGTAGCTCTCACGGGGCCCGGTGGCACCATCCAGTGTAGCTCAATAAGTCAATAAGGTACGCAAACCGTCGCACGACGTTAATGTCCAGTCCCCTTGCAACGGAAACGAGTATCACCATCTAATGCTTATGGTTGATGAGAGGCGAACTCACAGAGGCACTAAAATTTTAATACAGCTTTTAGCCTTTTTGCATTGGTTAAGTGAAATAGCGGAATTTTGGAGTGTTATAACTGCCTCTTAGTTACGCCACGCTCTGACGATCTGATATCAACTCTCTTAGTCGGCCGAACGAATGTGGCTTGGAACTATTTCACGCACGACAAAATAACCGACCAGATTCCTAGTTGTGTTACTCGTGAGCATTAGGCGCAACCCGGTTACTACGCGCGAGTTGAGCGGGCTCCTAGACCGAACGCGATTTCACACGCAGCTACCCAAACCCCGGGAGAACAAGACAAAAAGACAGGCCTTTTGCGTAGTCACTTTTATCGGCCATGCTCAAGGCGATTACAGCGCAGTCCAACGTTTCTTTCATACCTCGTGGGTGCCAATGGTTTGCGGAAGCTAACCCTGAAAGCAACTAAATTGGCACTATGCAAATATGCCAACGGAACTTGTTGCAAAGTAGATCTTGATAGATGCGGAAGCTGGACTGGAAAACTGAATGTTTCTTAGATTAAAATAGCCGAATATTTTATGATTGCGATGGTTGGCCGGAAACAGGAATGTTTTCTGAGGTACCAAGGCCAATCGAAACTTGAATGTCTCACGAGTTGGAAGGCTGATCGAAACACGTGCACTTGTCTGAATCGATTCTCATTACCTTTCGTGGTCTAAGCTTGTGATCACTGTGGGTACGTTGGGTCACCATAATAGGGAGCAGGAGACAATATGTGATTACCAGTGGGTTTTCTACCGTCCCTATCTGAAAGTGCCCCCAAGTGCTGATGAGGTTGATACTGAGTGCACGATCTCCCACGACATCATCGCAGCAGTTAATCTGTACGTGTGCTTACGTGTTTAGTTTCTTGCATTTCAGGTGTTGTCTGTTGCTTGATATACCCGTTGTGGCTGCGCTTGCTGTGAATAGTTATTGGGTACCTATCCATCAGAATAATGGGCGTCAACTAGATTGAGGTTCTTGTCATTCCATCCACGCACGCGAGTCTGGTACAGTGCTACCTAGCATCGCTCATCGTGAGAACTGGTGGATCTTCACACAGGAAGACCAGCACTCCGTCATGGAGGACGCGAGTTCACGAGATTTTCACATCCTCCACTGTATATTGTGCAATGTGTCTTCAAAACTAATGTGAATATTCCTCTTGAGTCTGGATGGCGGATTCCGACGCCGTTATACTTGCTTGGGAATGTTAGGTCCATGTTCCATATTCTCACCGTTTGTAGGTATTTTTGATGTTGCGGATTGCTTGCGAAGCGAACAACCCCTTGCGCATGGCGTAACTTTGTTGGGGCGGAAGAATGTCTTGTATCGATGTACGATAAGGTTTTGTGTGGAAATTTGAGAAATTCACCACCAAGTTACCTTCAGCTTCGTGGAACTCTGACTGTGAAGGATAGACTGTTATCGGTCGACTTTTCACTTCCTTCTTCATATCAAAGAACCGGATTTTGCTTCGAACGGCGCTATATTCGCTAAACATGCGGTATGCGGGGATGCGTGGGTCAAGCTAACTCAAGGCGTTTGAGGTCGGTGTAATGAATCCATAGCACCAATTTGTAGTTCCACATCATTTTCTGAATGAGAAAACAATTGAAACGATAGGGTATATCATTCCTCGCAGAAATCTTTATTCTCATCATTCTTAGTGTTTTTCTTATGCACAAAATTGTTTTGGCCGTAGCATGCCTTGTGGAGTAGCCTCTATAGTGTAATCTCTGTGGAATACTTTACATCTTTCATACTGGGTTCTAAGCCAACTTTTCTTTTATTGGAATTATGCGATTTCTGGTCAGTAGCAGAGAAGCGTGTGTGTATTTGCACTTTTGGAGAGAGAGAGTTTTAGTGCAGATTTATAACACTTGTTTATCAAATTCAGTAAGGTTTTACTAAACTGATCATTTAGGTATCTGGGCAAAGATGCGCTAATCAGATAGCAGTATTCTGTAGAAAATGTGGAGATTGCAGCAAACGTTGGCTTTACTCGAAGTACACCCATCAGATGTATTAAGAAGCATCCTGAGACCGGAAGCATAAATGATGAGCACCGATCTTGTCACACCCAGATGTTAACTAACCTGGATTACCAAATGTTACTGAGGTCATGCTTGAGTGATAGGGAGCTACTGTATCCACTGCTACTGTGGCAATGTAAGAGGTCCTCTGTGAATGTGCGCACTTCAGCGGTAAGAAGACGGTGCTTGCATTTCCCTCTGAGGGGCTGCAGAGCATGAACAAAACTTCTGTTGTCTGATACACAAGCAAAACGGACTTATAAATTTGAAAGTTTTCATGTTAGACCACCAGGGATGGTTAGAGAGCTTTTTCATTCTTGGGAATCATGACAGCACGCATTTGTCCGACGATTTCCGTCTGCGAAGCATTCAGTAGAAATCTTGATTCGGGGTTACACGGCCACCATTGGAGTTGGAACGCTTTTCATCGTTGATGACATCATCAATGCACGCAGACTTGGGGAGATTCTCCAAAACTGCATGTGACCAACCACTCAGAAGCTATTCAAGCATGACTACTACTTCTTCCAGGAATACAATGCGCCATTTCAGCTTACATAGGCAGTCAGCGAATAAGTGAAAAAGAAGCGAAAGAGCTCGAATGACTAACACAATCCCATGAGTTTATTCCAATCGCAAATTTTTCGTGCACATTATCACCATAAAAATCAAGAAAGCTACCTACGATCAAAATGGAACTTACTGATTCTTTGCGCCCTGTCATCAATTGAGAACATCTCCAGAACTTGGTACATTCAGTACCTGTGACAAGCGAAGCTGTTACTTGAAACACAAGTGGGCCAATCAAGTGTCAGCATCTCAAATTCTGTGCACGATGCTATTCTGTGCCTTTTGAACCGATAAAACTCTATTTATTTATAATTCATCAACGCTTCGAGGTTATGGGACGCCACAGTTATAATGAAGCTTACGGATGATGCCGTTCGGTAAGAGCTTAATTAGTAAAATTATCTAATCTAGCAGTTGAGATGCTACAATTTAAGTGTATCAGTATTGAAGCGAAACAACCGTGAAAGAAGTTTGATATATATTTCCAGCATATCTATAAGGCAGCAGTGGTATATCATGCATACTCCATATTCTTCAAAGTGATGCTAGACATTCCACAGCTTTGTAACTTAAGCTCGGGGATTTTTCATATGACTGATTTGTAACTCGTTACAGAGGCGCAGATACGGTTGCCATGTTTCTCTTGAACACCGCGCGAATTGGAAGCCAGGCATTTTGATACATGAGGCGACAACATATACATAACTCTTCAGATAGTGATAAAACGTTAGGGCTTCGCTTAACCAATGCAACGAAGGATAGATTCGATGGAAGTAGCCAATTGCCATGTAATGCCGGTCCCTAGAGTGGAACAGGGTAGCCAGCCGGACGTGAATTCAGCAAACTGCAGTTGGTCACATTAAGGTAAAGTGATTCGATCGCATGACTGTGCTGATTGAATCGATATCGTTCCAGTGCATCTCTTTCTGGTGTGCGCTCTTATGAAATTTCCGAACAAGAATATGGTATTCCCCGTTTGATACCTAACGTTACTATGCGGTCGCTATTACCGGTGGACGCTTTGCACTCTTTATGTCGTCTTTCTCTTCCATGGTACTTGATCCTCGAACACTGTAAGTCATTGTTTTACACGCAGAATCCTCGATTTTTGTGCCCATCATTAACTTTGTCGTATTGCAACTTTAATGCACTCATTGTGGTATGTCATTCGCTATTCATTGTCTGTTTTTCCTGTGTGATCCGCATCCATTTGATTGTTTTCGCTACTTTGTTAGAGCAACGACGCCATACATGTGAACATTGTAACAAATCGTTTTTTGACAAGCGCAGTATGCGACGGCACATCAGAGCTGTTCATTCGAGTGAGTGTACAAACGGTCATGCCAGTCAATCTTAATTTTTATCACTTGTGTTGGGTTGTATTTGTTTATATCGCGTGGCTTTTGTTGTATATTGTTGACAGTAACAGCTCCTTGTTTTGTTACTCTTACTGCTGAGAAGTTTTTCGACTCACATAGGGTTCAATTTGAAAATCACTGCCGTTATGTCTAGCAAACGTATCAATTTGTTTGACTCTTCTCATGGGTATATGGCTGGCGACATCCATTTTCATATTTTATTCCATGTGCGTATATTTTCTCGAAAATGTGGGAAACCGTTCCTAAGTTAGGAACAGATCATTATGTACGGAAATATTTATGCTCTTGCATGAGTTCAGGTTGTCACCAATTCTTAGCACTTTAGAAAATTTTTGACCATCGTGATATGTTTCCTTAGGTGATTTGTCGGATGAGAACATGGATGGTAATCCTAATAGACCTAAGAATCTGTCGAGTTTGGTGTGCAATGAAGTGGAGTTTTCATATGTCCTGCTTTCGGTTGTTAGGCAGTTCTACAGGACATAACTGCCGGGGAAAAATTTGGACCGTATTAACATTCTAGGCCTTGGTATCCGTAGCGTAAATTTTCTATTACAGATTCTTTCATGGCTGTTGTGTTTTATTTAAGTTCTGTAGGTAAGAGTGTGCCCCATGCTGAGACTGATGTTGCATTATTAATGCTTCTTCACCACAGTTGGGCTAAACCAGCTTACAATTAAACTAGGTCTCTTTAAGCTGCATAAATTTCATTCCACTTTATTTGGTCTGTTTTGCCTATCTGAATAATCTTCTGTTACCCGTCCAAGTTGCTTACGCTAATTGCCCTTATCATGGGTAACTTCGTTGCGTTTGTAGCATTTTTTGCGTAACTTGCGGATATTGTTTCCTCATCGCGGATTCATTGCTAACCAACTGACTTCATATGCTAATTTAGCGAAGAGTTATGCCACCGTATCTATATGTATTATTGGATTTTTTATTTCATTTTGTCGTTTCAAGTGATTGGCTGCTGATTGATAGCCCCGCTGTGGCTTCGCTTGATATGCATGTTGACAAGGTGCCTACCTGTTTATTACCCACTACCTCGTGCATACTGGCTCCAGGAGAAAATTGGTCGTTGCTTTAGGGGACGGGGTATACGGTCCTTGTGGCCGTGCTATTCTCGAAGAGTGCTTCCATGCACTCAGTGTGCAGCGGACTACGGTCCAGCCACCGCCTTGTGTGCGTTTGATTCCCCAAATACAGCGTGCTTGTGTTTGCTTGTGAAGGAGTGTGGGCCGGCTCCTTTGATGAAACGTGGCTCCCATCCACATGCCTCCCGGTCTTATTCCTTGGGGTTTACACTGGATATGGGGTGTATGGTTGGAGCTGTGGGTGGTGCAGCGCAAGCCATCCATGGTCCCTCTGTAGGCGCAGGCGTCCTGTGGCTTGCCACATTGAAAGGCATATCCGAAACCGGATGCCGCCAACCAGGCAAGAGTACATTTTCTGATACAGGAAATATCGGAGAAGCATCAAGTTTTGCTTTAAACCTTACAATCAAGGAGACTCGATGTGATGCTGTCTGCAACGTTCGCGATAGTTTAGAGTGGATATGCTATTAAACAAACGTTTGCTGAACGTCCTCTGTAAATTTTTTTATATAATTTTCCTATCTTACTTCTCTATGCTGCCATAGTTGACGTTACAGTATTCGAGATTAAGAAGAGTGAGCGTTTTAAATGATTCCAATCTGGCATGGGCTGTATGGATTTTGTGACATATGTTTGTCCGAATTGTTTATACCCAGCTATTTGATATTTTGCTTGTTCAGGAAAAACGGAAATCAAGAAACTAGCGGATTCCAAGATCACGAGTAGACTGCCATATGGACATACTTTTGTTGTCAAGTTTAATTGACCCATTGGGGATCGAGCAACCACATGGCATAATGTTTAACTTATCGGTTGCGAATTTTACCGACCAAGTCTCAGATCATTCTTCAAGGTAGTGAAAATATTCTTACATTAAAGGTAGTGCACTCTGAAGGGCCTCACATCGGAGTCTTGATATCATCTGCAAATAGAAGGAGTTGTACATTTTTCTTGGTCATGCCAATATCATTTATGTAGAGGAAGAAAAGCAGAGGATCGATTACAGTTCTTTGGATGAAGCCGCTAGTTGTTGGACAAGGCGAACAATGTTGATCACGCAAAGTGACTATTTGGGACCGATTGCTACGATAGTAGGAAAGCCAACTTAAGAGTGGGTTTTGGATTCCAAAGGATTCAACTTTCTTCAACAACCGTTTGGGGTGATACACCGTCAAATGCTATTTCTAGATCCAAAAACAAAATTACTATTGCATAACCAGAGTCGATGGATTCTGAAGTGTAGCTAATGTTGTGTAGCTGGCAGGTCGTGCAAGAGCCTCTGTCAAGCAAACCATGTTGAGCTGTGTTCAATAGGTTCAGGGAATTAAAGAGCTCCATCAACATTTTCTTGACTAATCTTTCAAACAGAATGGCGATGGTGGGAGTATGATGAATCGGTCGGTAATTGGTAACTTTTTGCTTGGGACCACTTTTGTGGCGTGGGATGATGATTGAGTGATCAGGGAAATAGCTAGTTTGTAGCGATATAATAAACATGTTCAACAAATGTGATGGTAACTCTGACCCTCCATTCTAATCCCAGTTATAGGGATGCCGTCGGAGTCCAACCTGAGAGAAGGTTTGCTCGTTTTCATTAGCCACTAAATAGTGCTGCGAGAAATTTCGACATTATTTAGACTGAGGCTGTGGACAACCACATTACGCCTGCGCCTGTGCTGCATAACCCACACCTCCATCCACACCCTATGTCCGGTGTAAACTCGATGGTGTATGTATAAATGGTGTATCTTTCGGCCATACGAGACATTGCCATCACAGTATTCATAACATCGTTTATCAATGCGATTACAAAGAATTTTAGAATAGCTGATGTTGAATGTGAAATAACTAACGGAGACGGTCACTTGTTCAAATAAAGTAGTACAGTCATCCGTGGAATCGTCTTCAAGGAATATGTGGTGTATTCTCTCGATTATTTTCACCAGCACATTTCCACGCTCCTTCTAGCCCTTATGGAATTGTGACTCACAGCAGATATGCCATCACTCCTTTACCACATATTTAAGTCTCTTTGTATGCATAGATTTTGGACAATCATGCGATCTAACTCTTTCCAATATTCGGTCGGTCTGAACCTGGCACTTTTTTTAATAAAAAATACTCGTGAACCAATGGCAATGGGTATAATTCTTAGCCTGAAAGCTTCAGTTCATCACCTCAGGAGACTATAGCGTGGTGGTGGTCAACAATGTAATGAGGATGTAAGTAAAGATTAAGAATTAAAACCATACCAATACACAGGTCGGTTGGTGTTCTGAGTGTTCGCTGAGCTCAGCAGTTTGACTGCAACCGTTTCGTCACCACTTGAGGTGACATCGTCAGTGAGTGTGAGTGATCTATCTTCTAGCCGTTAGTCTGAGTTTGGATTGTTCGACGAGCACATGACCATCGAAATCGATCTCTGATTCTCACCTCGTAGTGTACGTGCACATGCCTCTTCGATTGTCGTCGTTTGATACAGTTGTCTGGCGTTCTGTTCCTTTAGATTCAATCTACTAGTTCGGTCATCTTTCATCCGTATCGCTGTATATATAGCGTCTATTTCAACGCGTCGGTTTATTGTATTGCCGGTAGAATACCATGCTTCCAAGACCTCTCTAGCTTGCCTCGAATTTCCACGAGCTAGGATCTTAACGTTCTCTAGGTCGAAGTGGTGGCCTTCTTGGTCTTCATGCATGGAGACCAGTGAATTCGGGTCTTGTCTCCGTATGACCATTATGTGTTCGTTGATCCGTGTTCAAAGTTTCCTTCCAGTTTGCCCGATGTAGTGTTTGTCACACTCTTTGCAGTTAATTTTGTAGATGGCATCATTGTGACTGCCTTGTTTGACTTTGTCTTTCGGTCTTGTAAGCAATCTTCGCAAAATACCAGTTGGTTTGTGAGGTACCATGCTTCTATGGGGTCATAGCAATCTTAACGTTAGTTCAGACACATTCTTGATGTAAGGATGCAATACCCGTTTATCTGTTTTCCCGTTGTTGTTGCTGCACCCTCTTCTTTAGGCTTCTTCTGATGATGTTCTTAGATACCCGTTGTTTTGCAATATCCGGTGTAGATGCTTCTCTTCCTTCTTTCTCAATTCTGTCGTGCTGCAGTGTGTTTCGGCCCTATTGCAATGCCTTTGAATGCAGCTTTTCTTGTGCTTCAGTGGATGGTTGCTGTGATAGTTTAATATTTGGTCTGTGTGGGTCTTCTTTCGATATACACATGCCTGAAGTGTTCCTTCAGGGTTTCTTTGCACCAGTACATCTAAAAATGGTAACTGGCTGTCCTTTTCGTGTTCTGTTGTAAACTTGATATCCTGGAATGTGTTGTTCAGTAACTCATGGGTATTATGTATGGAATCCCCTTTGATGATGACAAACGTGTCATCCACCTACCGGATCCATAATTTTGGTTTGATTAACGGTATTGTGATACTCTCCAGTTTTTGCATCACAGCTTCTGCAATAAGGCCTGAGATGGGCGATCCCAACAAGCTGAGCCACCGTCCGTCACATGTGGATCGATTATAGTCAGTCGAGCAGACATGTTGTCACAACCAGCTGCGAGCCACGATTGACTCAGACCTGACACACACTCCTTCAACTTGCACACCACTCTTGTGAACAGGTTGAACCATTCATTACCAGACGTTCACAGGGAATGCTTGGACTGTAATCAGTTCCACACTGGATGTGGAACCCCTTGGAGCCTAGCACTGTGCTCCCCGTCTCCCCGAGCAACGTCTCACCGTGTTTTTGCTCGTAACTCTTATAGATCACTGGTTTTGCGTTTTTACTTAGCGCACAACCGTCTGTTTTCTTCTGGCGTTCTCGATGCTTTTAAGGTAACTCTTCTGGGTCCTAGATGGTATTTGACATAGCAGCTAGTGCACTCAACAAGAAGTTACCTCTATCTTTTAGCGAAGACGGAGGATGGTCGTCGTGTCCCGTGGCTTTTTTACCATAGAGCGTTCCTGTCGAGTCTGTTCCAAAGTTCGACGTATGAGATCAACTTTCCAGAAGAGTTTAAGTAACTCAGCAAGCGACAGTGCGGCATTTGGCCTGTTGGAACACCTTGAATGTATGTATACTTCTCGACTGTGCGAGTTACAGTCCAAAACGTGGACTGATTAAATAGTACAACATGATCTCAAAGTGCACCTGTTCTTTTAGATTTATCGAAAAAGTTCAAAATCTGATGTGTGGGAGTTCAATTGGTATAAACGATAAAAAGGAGAGTTTAAAAGCACGATTAAAGGGGTTATTGAAAAAGCACAATAGAATTAATACGGCTAGTCGTTGATTCGACTCCTGGGGACCTGCTTCCATGCGGGGTATTCCTGTGAAAGGTTTAATCCGCACTTCTGCATCCCATTGGGCTTCGTGTCGAGTCGATTGACACGTCTGCACTGTTGCCTCACTAATAGGCTTTTCTTTGAGTCGTCTATCATCGATTCATAATTACCGTTTAAATTCAGCCTGTTTTTGCTTCTTGAGTTACTCGATCGGGTCAGCGATCGCTCATTATCTCGCTGTAGACTGAGGTAAGTGGCAGTATCCGACATGTAACGGTTGGGTGGCGACGGTGACCCAGTTGGACACATTACGTATTGGCTGGGAGCAGGCCTGTACAGTTCTCGCCATCTTCTCCACGCTAACAAAAGCAAGCGAAACTCTTGGTTCGACTTTCTGACATCTTCCCTATCACCTGTTTCTTCTATATCGCAGTACTGTTGATGTGTGACTGTACAAGTGTGTCAAATTCATCTGTAAACTGAAACTTAACATCGTAGCGGATGAGCTAAAGGCATTGAAGAGGCAACTAGCGCTCTGTGGCTGCAATGCGCTCCATCATTCTGACATGGAAGCTCATCTTACGAATCCACATCTCTTCCAGACAACCGAATTTATATATCCTAACTTTTATCCACATCTCGACTTTGATTCTGTCGCTATGTTGAACGCGCTCTTGTATTTGTGCACCACTTGTTCTCCGAAACTGAATACATTCACCCGAAGGCGCTGGCGTTAGCATCTACGTTGCTGGCAGAATGTTGATGTCCTTCTCTCAGTCGCCACAGGACACTCTCACTGCCAGTTGGCGCGTTACTTCAAGGGTACGGTTACTTTTTGTACACTACAGTAGAAACGGAGCATGGTTAGTGGCTTGCAATATTGCACTATTATCATCTATAGTACTGATTCGTTGGTCAGTGAAGACGGATGCATTTTCGAAACCCTGCTAATTAGTGTTTGCGCCGCTCCTTTCATTCGGAGGCACTCTGTGATGCGCAACAGATGATAAAAGATCGTCACAGTAACGAGAAGGGACCGTTTTATGATGTCTCTCCATTTACCTTTCAGCATATGGAATGACAGCGAGACACATCTTAAGTTCTTCGAGTCATACACCCACTGTCGATAGAGATGCAGTTTAAGAGTGATTGTCGACAGATTCGTGGTCATTGGTTGATATGTTGCTTACTTAGCCCTATTTCATATATTCTCTTCATATGACGGTGGTATAGGTGAAAACCTCAACAAGATTCTGTTGTGCGGTTGAAATGATTCTCTTGGGTGTAAGCGCATAATTGCTTTGCTGATCTTGAGCAACATGTGTTTCCGCATTACCAATTCAAGAATCAATGCCGGATCAAAATCCGGTCCTAATTGAGCGCGAACCTCAACAATGTGCGCTTCCAGTGCAATTCTGTAGCGACAACTTGTTTTTCCTTCGTGGGCTGAAATATACCTATCCATGTAAATAAGTAGTTCCCATTTTAAGTTCGCAGTGAGGTTAGAGCATGGCTCCACGAATCGCATTGTGTTAAATTACGAATTCCATCTGATTTTCGTTCCCGAATTTTATATTACTAGGTCTGATAGAATATTTCACACGGGACCTTCGTTCTGCAGGTTGGGTTCCAGCCTTTTATTCGTATTCGTCTTCGTTTGGTCAATCACTGACAAGCTTTCTGATTCTACTGACGGCATCCCATCACGTTTCCACTACAACACTATTTTTTATGTGACGCCGTATCGTTCTTATTGTTCGTTCCAGATGAGCGACCTCACGAATGCAAGTACTGTAAGAAAACCTTTTCTCTATTGGCCAGGCTCCGGATCCATGAACGGTCTGTTCACTTTAGTGAGTAGAATGTTGTGTGTGTCGTCGGTTTGCCAATCTTTCATTCTCTGGTCTTACTGCGGCGATGAAATGCCCGATTAGAGGTCTTGGGAAATGTTTGGAACGGATGGAACGCACGATTCTCTCGGCAGTGTTCCACCAGTCTGTATTTCAAATGGATATGAGTGCTACAGGGCTGGCGCAGCCCTGCCAAACTCACCCGGAGTTCGCCGGCGTCAGTAGCCTATGGAGTCCGAACAACACTGTCGCTATGCAGACGCGCAAACTACTCAGTTCAGAGCTGAGCTCTTTCTGCGGGAACTGCTGCCAAGGGCGCACTCATCTGCACAGATCACAACGGAGTTGTCCTCAGTGAGAAGTCGTCCAACGTATCCCTCACGGCTTCCACTGAACTCGCCTCATTCTCACCATCGTATCTCCCGAACTCTCCTCAAGTCAACAGTCTACCTCTTGTGCTTTGTTCATGCAAATAACTCAACTACCATGCACGCTAAACAACTGTGATGTGTCCAAGTCTCGACAGCATCCATCCCGCCCCATCTTTGCCTGAAGATGGGGTCATGCCATGGCAACTCATGTGCCAACAAACGGACGAGTATCTTTGTAGTCTATACATTTACTAATTTTTACAGAGAGCTATAAAAATGTAGGTGTAGAGAGCAAGGTTGCCTTGGTTAGGGCATTAAAAGCACACTCACTGTTGGTCAGTCTTCTTTCAGCGGGTATCTGTCTAGTTGTGCGCTGTTCCGCGTTCCGTCTGCCTTCTCAGTTACGAGCTCACGGCTAAGTCACCTGGCCGTTCCAATGCGAATCGTCCACTCTACTCTGCGCTTGGGAACCGACGAATAAAGGAGTTCGTACGTTCCGACTAGGGGAGTCGAAATCCGATAGGGACGTTTATAACTATACGGCAGATCTTTTCTTGGTGTGGAAACACAACAGGTTAAAACACAAATTTTCCTCAAATTACCGAGACCACTTGCTTTTTGTTTTAATGAACGTCTAAAGTTTTGTATCTACGGGATAAATTTCTATTTTTGGTCATACTTTCTAATTGTTGGCTGTTGGAGCGCAGCGTATCGGTTACAGCCAAATGCACCCACCTCTTTCACGTTGACAGAAACGTCCGCTTTTGCCATTTTTAATCCATCGTAACGGAGCACTTATTTGGGTCCTGACACAATGTTCTGTTCTCTTATTTATATGCATACTGTACCAATGCGCCATTTCAGCTTACAAAGACAGTCGCAGTGTAAGTGAAAAATCAGCGAAGGAGCTTGAATGACTAGCACAGTCGCATGAATTTATTCCAATCGTAAATTTTCGGTGCACATTATCACCATAAAAATCAAGAAAACTACCTACGACCAAAATGGAACTTACTGATTCTTTGCGCCGTGTCATCACTTGAGAACATCTCCAGTAGTGGGTGCATTCAGTACCTGTGACAAGCGAAGCTGTTAATTGAAACACAAGTGGGCCAATCAAGTGTCAGCACCTAAACTTCTGGGCCTTCTAAACCAATAAACCGGAGTTAAGTGACGCCACAGTTCTAATGCAGTTTACGGATGATACCGTTCAGTAAGAGCTTAATTAGTTACGTTATCTAAATAAACAACTAAATTTGTATATTTACCGACAGACGGTACACGACCCCCTAAGTGGATCGATCATTTGTATAGTGAATACGTTTCCTAATATTAAAGAAAAGTTTGTTACTAGAATTTCGGATCATGATTAATTTTCTTTGGATGCTTTTCCCGTGCACTTCGTATGTAAAATTTACAGATGTTTGTATCATCATGAGTAGATAATAAAGGGAGTTACTACTAGGCTGCAAAGACATGGGATTTGGTATGGTATGTAATGACATGTAGTGGGTAAGCTGGCTGTAAGCGATTATCTTCTCATATGTTTTTATACCAACTTCTGTCAATGTTTCTAGAGTTTACTGTGACTCAAATATCTTCAAAGCATATGGTATAGTGAGGAAGGTCTGAAGAAGACTTCGAAACGTGACATGGCTTGTACACATGCGTATCTGTAGGGTAGTTTGTTACACACATCAGTGTATCTCACTAAGTTGAAATTCGACCGATTTTTATGACTTGAAAGGTTTGTGCGTATCAAGTAGCCGCCATTACGTGTGGGGCAGACTGCAGTCTTACGTAGTTCAAGTGCGGTGCTGTCTACGTAAATTCGTTGGTTTATAATCTTGTAGAAGAGAACGAAATTGTTCTTTAAGCGTCTCAGCCAAAGTGGATCCAGCTGGAGTTTTCGACAGCGATCATAATAAGTCAAGTTTGGGCAGCGTGCCATGACCAGCTTGGTAAATGATCGTTGGACATTTTCCAGAGCCGTTCTGTCCTTCTTTCTCAATTGGCTGTGAACAATAGTACAATATTCCAGAGTCGGTCGTACGATTGTCTTGAATGACTCAAGTCATGCTTCATGTAGAGAAAAAGTTCTGGTGATATATCCGCATAATTGCCTTGCTTTCGCAACCTGATAAAGAACATGTTCGGAGAAATTGAAAGAGTTGGAGTATCTAATTCCTGAGGCCCGAACTGTATCAGATGTTGGGATCACGTTTCCGGCAAGTATGATGGAGCCTTCTGGGATGTGGCATCTGTTCCTGAGTACTTGGGATTTCACTGCAGAGACCTTCATTAACAAATGCTCACTAGCTATATTTAGTGCGGATAGGTCTTCACAGAGGTTTCTCTAACATATATGTAGTTGGTCTGGATGCAATGAGTAAACCAGTTTGACATCATCTGTAAACAGAAATGGGTGTCCATGTTTGATCGAGTCACATATATTGTTTACGTAGGTTAAGAAAAGTAGTGGTCCGAGCACACTTCCCTGGAAGACACCGCTGGTTATTGGTTTCGGTGTAGAATATTTCTGGCCGATTTTAACTACCTGCGTTCGACCGCTTAGGTATGAGTCGTACCAGTTAAGCAGCGGATTTCCAATTCCACAGGACTCTAGAGCAGACAGCAGTGGTTTGTGCGGCGCGCGGTCTAACACCTTTTGCATGTCCAGCAGAATTATAATAATTGCCATTCCTCTGTCAATCACAGTCGTGCCGTGATCGAGAAATTGTAGCTGGCATGTAAAGCAGGAGTGTTTTGAGAGAAAGCCATGCTGTGAGGGGTTGATCAGATCCAGTCTTGTAAGCTATTGGACAATGTTCTTCATGACTATTCGCTCTAGGGCTGTGAGAGCAGCAGAGGTGTGATTTATTGGGCGGTAGCTTGACACTTGATTTCTCGGTCCACCCTTATGCTTAGGCATTATAATGGATTGCTTCCATTGAGCTGGAAAGCAGCCGGTAGTGAGAGTGTGAAGATGTTTAATAACAATAGAGCGAGATTTTTTCCTCCGAGTTTTATAACAGTTGGGGAGATGCCCTGTGGACCTGGACGAGTTGATGGTTTTGATGGCTGCGATGGCACTTCGCACCTCTCTTAACGTCACACGGATATTGCAGTATAGTTCGGTCGTTCTTTTTGGAAGTGGAGCATGAAGTGGCTGAATGTTGGGGACAAAAGAGGGGGCAAAACTAGAGTTACTGGCCTCGTATATACAGGAGATGTCGCGCGTTATTGAACCATCGTCTAGAGCCAACGTTTTCATTTCCTGAAGTGGTTTAGGGTTCCTTCTTTTGAGTAGTTGCATCAATGTACGTACTTTCTCAGGATTTCTGAGTACCCGGCTTTCTTCTTTGGTTTTGGTTTTTGGGTTATACGTTGTAAATGTAGTAAATTCTCGTGTATGTGTAGTAATGTTGCGAAGCTGTTGCTTCTGCGATATAGCGATTTGAGTTTCTTTAGTTTGATTTCGGCTTTGTACAGAAGCTTCAGTTCACCCCTATGTTCATGGGTATTTTTCCATATAGTAGGTGCCAGGAGATCCACAACAAGAGCGATATTGTTCATAAACTCATTTGTAACCACAGTAGGGTTGTGACTTAGGAATGACGTATTCCAATTCATGGCACTGATCAGTTCGTTACATGAGTTGCAGTCCAGATGATGGAGGTTACGAATGGGTTTTAGCATTTTACTAATCTAACAGTTATGATGCTTCAATTGAACTTTGTCATTAGTGAAGCGAAACAACCGTGAAAGAAGTTTGGTATATATTTCCAGCGTATCTATAAGGCAGCAGTGGTATATCATGTATATTCCATATTCTTCAAAGTGATACTAGACATTCCACAGCTTTGTAACTCTTAAGTTCGGGGATTTTTCATATGACTGATTTGTAACTCGTTACAGAGGCGCAGGTACGGTTGCCATGGTTCTGTTAAACACCGCACGAATTGGAAGCCAGACATTCTGATGCTTGAGGCGACAACGTATACCTAACTATTCAGATAAAGATGAAAACGCAGGGCTTTGCTTAACCAGTGCAAAGAACGATAGATTCGATTGAAGTAGCCAATTGCGATGTAATGCTGGTCCCTAGAGTGGAACAGGGTAGCCAGCCGGACGTGAATTCAGCAAACTGCAATTGGTCACATTAAGGTAAAGTTATTCGGTTGCACGACTGTGCTGATTGAGTTGATATCGTTCCAGTGGATCTCTTTTTGGTTTCCGTTCTTATGAAATTTCCGAACAAGAATATTAGATTCCCCTAACGTTACTATGCCTTCGCTATTACCGGTGGACGCTTTGCACTCTTTATCCCGTCTTTCTCTTCCATGATACTAGATCTTCGAACACTGTAAGCGATTGTTTTACACGGGGAATCCTCAACTTTTGTGACCATCATTAACTCTTTGTCGTACTGCAACTTTAATGCACTCATTCTGGTATGTCATTCGCTATTCCTTGTCTGCTCCGCAACCCTTTGATGCTTTTCGCTACTTTGCTAGAGCAACGACCCCATACATGTGAACATTGTAACAAATCGTTTTTTGAGAAGCGCAGTCTGCGACGGCACATCAGAGCTGTTCATTCGAGTGAGTGTACAAATGGTCATGCCAGTTAATCTTAATTTTTATCACTTGTGTTAGGTTGTGTTTGTTTATATCACGTGGCTTTTGTTGTATGTTGTTGACAGTAACAGCTTCTCGTTTTGTTACTCTTACTGCTGAGAAGTATTTCGGCTCACATAGGGTTCAGTGTTAAAATTCACTACCGTTATGTCTAGCAAACGTATCAATTTGTTTGACTCTTCTCGCGTTTATATGGCTGGCGATATCCATTTTTCTATTTTATTCCATGTGCGTATATATTCTCGAAAATGTGAGAAACCGTTCCTAAATTAGGAACAGATCATTATGTACGGAAATGTTCATGCTCTTGCATAAGTGCATGTTGTCACCAATTCTTAGCCCTTTTTGACCATCGTGGAATGTTTCCTTAGGTGATTTGTCGGATGAGAACATGGATGGTAATCCTAATAGACCTAAGAATCTGTCGAGTTTGGTGTGGAATGAAGTGAAGTTTTCATATGTCCTGCTTTCGGTTGTTCGTCCGTTCCGAAGGACGGCGCATCTGACGAGGAATTGGATGAACGTGGGAATATGATGAATCGGTTGGTAATTTTTTGCTTGTGATCAATTTTGTGGCGTGGGATGATGAATGAGGTTTTTCATTGATCAGAGGTATGACTACACCTTTTCTCAGTTAATTGCATCCATAGCGCTTTCAAACACAGTCTTAAGGAAGGGCTTCCGTCCACACATTTTTCGGAATCCTCCTTAAGTCAGTGAAGTCTCATCCACCTGGCGCGAACGCACCAAAGTGCGCCCCTAGTTGGGTGACCAATCCCAAATCAACCAATAGCATATCAGACTAGTTTTGGACATGAGTTACCAGAGAAGGTTTGTGTGTGGCGCAGATCGCGTGCGATGTGGTGGATGCTCGCGATCGAGACTCGCATGCAGGCATAAATGGCTACGCTGAAGCTACACACATGCTAGGGGGCATACTCGCAAAATACACGTGGTGTCATCGGGGCTTAACAGTCACGAGTGATCATGGTGGTTGGCACGTAACTCAGGTATTTCCACTTATAAGTGAAATATGATTGTGCGGTGTGTCTGCCCATTTCATCGCTGAGCTGTCCGTATACTGCGAGACACCAACGTGAATGAGTGCGAATGAATTGGCCCTTAGGAATAATGATATGAAGTCGCTCACAAATACGGTTGTCGATAATCGGCTGGCATGGAAGTTGGACTAGTGACACCGGAGGGACGTGGAGAGCGTGTGGACTGCGGTGTGTTTCGGGGTGCCGCATGCTCACTGAGCGCAATTTTGAAAGGTCCGCGTTTAATGGATGTAGCGATTCGAATCAGGATTTGTGCGCGCGCAGTGCACATTGGCATCCTCACAGAGGTTTCACTCGCTTATTGCCTTTGTTATGCCGTTGTTCGACTGAGCTTGCTCCTGGGAAATATTTCATATCGTTACCTCATGGTTCCCATTGCGGTTGCGCAGGCATGTAAGTGCCTGAGTGGTTCCTCCAACCATTCTCACACATTATTTGTATTGTTGTGAAACAGGCCGAATCTGGTGTTTTACCAGGGACGACACACACAAACAGAAAAAGAATTCCGCAACATTCGGGGCGGTCATACTATTCCGCCAGTTTCAAGGAATGATCTCAGTTAGGTGTTATTGCTAAACTGCAGTAAATAGCGGCGCACACGATTTGGTTAACTCAGAACAGATTGTCAGCTAATCAGTAATACCGTGTTTCCGCCTCTTCATATGGCAAATTACGCGTTCCATTGACGCACTTGGAAACCGGACGTTGAGTCTGCTCCAGATCTATGATCTCGCGCTTCAGTTTTGGTTGCCTTGCTTGTACTGCTTATACTTCGTGGTGGTGGTTCCCAGCTTGTGATGCCATTTCCGTTTGCTCAGAACAACTCGGGTTGCGGCATTCTCACTGAGCGTAATGTTGATAGGCCTGTGTTTGATGGATGTAGCCATTCGAATCAGAGTGAGTTCGCGCACAGCTCACAACACCTGACGTTTCGTCCTTATCACCAAATCCTTACTGATGGCAAGCCGTTTCCGACTGCGGTTACGTACTAACAACTTGAACGAATTCACCGGGGCTTCATTTGAAGCTTGGGGATGCACGAGGCGCACGTCCTGTGCGTCACTTGGTCCACTTAATCTTGTTGCCACAGTGATGGCTATAATTACATTACGAAATGGTCAGTCATCCCTTGAGTCAGTTTGACCGATGAACTTGGACATACCACGGAGGCGGAACTGTCTGGTAATGTACTCTGTCAGTTCTGGATAACAACACTTTTTGGGGGTGTGGATGCGTTGTGGTCAAGTGGTCATGTATAAATAAATAAACGTTTCATTCCTCGACAGTGCGAGACACAGACCAATTGAAAGGTCTTATCAACTTACACAACGTGATCGCATAATATAGTTAATTTTACATGTTTTGTACAATTGTTCCCCTATGGGTTTTTTGAAGTGATTATCAGTTTGAAGGTATTAGAGAAAGTACGGAACTGGGAACAATAATAAATGTAGATTTCACGGAAAGTTCAAGTAAAGTAATACTGCCATCCACGGAACTGTCTCCAGGGGACTTGCTTCCATGCGGGGTATTCCCTCGATGAGTTTCACCCGCACTTCCATGCTCCAACTGGCTCTGTGCCGATGTGGCAAAATAGTAAATAGGCCATCAACTGGGTATCAAATGTATTTTTCATAAGGGCTGTTTTATGCATACCTTATGGGCGATGAAGCCTCAACCCGTTCCGTCATTCGGATCAACCATGTATGACACTATTTTGTTTTAAGCCAACGAGTCAGTAGCAATATGATTTGCATGGGTACTATATTTTAGTTTGGAAGCTATAATCCGTCACCACAAGAGATCATTCCGGTCATGGCTAACAATGAAACGAAGAAGAATATAAATTATGAGGAAATAAAAAACATAATAATGAATACAATCGCTCGCCAGTTGGCCAATCATAATTTGATGGAAAATCTTGGCAAGTAACGATAATGGTACCGAGACATCAGCTCGAAAGGCATAGGGCATCTTCGACCCAGTACGACAAAGAAAACATAATTGGTTAAACGGAGTGATAAGAGTAAGATCGTTTAAAGATACCTACTCAAGAATTTACCTTTATGTAGGTAGTCTTATAATATTGAAACAAATGGTGGATATGGCGAGTTTCAAGTGTATCCAGGACCTTTCTCATACACATCATCTAGAGTCCTCGTTTAGCTAAGTGTTGACCAGATATTTGAAACAGTCAGGTGAATATTTATCATGCGTGTGAATCGCAGATAGGTAGTGTGGCTTCTAATACTCGATGAAAGTTTGTTCCATATTAACGCATATTTTACGGAGAAAAAGTTTGAGCAGAGCTTGGTGCGAGATTTCTGTATTTGCAATGTGCGCTCGCTGTTTCTTAGTTCATAACGCATACGAGTATGAAACCCGGATTGTGGTTGAGCAGTGAAGCTTAATCCAAATAGTAAGCGGTATAAAAGGCACAGATTACGTTTAAGTCTGCGTAACCATAGCGGCTCTAGTTTTAGAGCCTCGCCACGCTCACGCTTTGTCATAGTATTAGGCATGTTCGAAAAATTTGTGAATGATCGTTGAATCTTTTCTAGTGCTATGATGTCCACTTTTCTCAGATTACCATGCACAGTACAGTACTGGAGCTTCGGCCTAACACACCTTCAAGGCTTGAAGCCTGGAATCCTCAAGATAAGAATTTGACTTGTGTAGGCGATCGTTTTTCTGGCAGAAGCCTGCAAAAAATACAACATGCTCTAAAAAATTAAATGACGCAGAATATCTTAGACCAAGGTCTCGGACTGCGCCACACAAAGGAATAGGGGTATGGTTTAATGTTAAGATGTTCAGAGAAGGGTCACAGCAGTGGTACAATAGATTACGCCTATCAGTGGCAAAGTGCAACTTCCAGGAGTTACTGCAGTGCTCCAATGCGGACAAGTCAGACTGAATAGATAGGGTTGTGAGACTGAGTTAATCCGACCCCTAACCATTGACACGTTTGGTATGCGCAGTCCTGATGGCATCTAAAAGGTGCCACCGAGCATACCTCAATAGGTCACGAAGGTAATCAAACCATCGCATCAAGATAAACTCCAGTCGCGTAGCGATGAGATTTGCTTCTCCGCTATGTCGGTGTTGTACTGTGTCGTATCAGTCTGAGACTTGTCTACGCTTACGTGATCAGTTTCCACTTTCGTGCCATACTATGATTTATTAATGATAACCGCTTATTTCTCGAAAAATTCACAATCCGTTCGGCAGCTGCACATCTGAAGGATTCCATTCTCGTAGGTAGGGTGACTATTCGCGTGTAAGATATTCTGCATACGCTACCACAGCTTCTACATCTACAGGTCCGAAACGCATACCTTACAGTTCTCTATCGTCGAACGTGACCTACATCACTGGTTCGGAATGACGGGT